AACAGCCACAGGACGAGTTTGCAAACAGACTGAAACAGCTGCAGCCCCAGCCAGCACCTTGACGGCATCCTTAGGAGGAATCCTGCGCCAAAGGCACCCTGCTAAGCTGCATCCAGGCCCCTGACCCACAGACCCTCTAAGATGACAAGTATCTGTTGTTTCAGGTCATTAAGTTGTGTGGTAATTTGTCATTTAGCAATGGCAGACTCTATTTGTCATCTTTCAATGACATTACTCGCTGAGAATGGCAGAATAGGAGGCTAGAAACGTGCTGGTCCCCATGACCTTCTCGGCCTGCTTCCCACCATCTACCACAAGATTCAGGTGAGAAACAAAAAACTTTATTTCATTCAACAGTTACAATCAATTCTGAACGATACAGTTAATCCCATCAGTATTATTATGACTATTCCCATGTAACATCTAATGGGTTTGCATAATACAAGCATAAAAAGAAAAATAGTGGCTGTCAGATTTTAATTCAATGGAATAAACACACAAAGAATTCAACAGAAGTTACTGGTAAACATAATACTCTGTTTTTTGTTGTTTGATTTTCTAAAAAGATTTTATTTATTTATTTTTAGAGAGAGGGGAAGGGAAGGAGAAAGAAAGGGGGAGAAACATCAATGTGTGGTTGCCTCTCGTGGGGACCTGGCCTGCAACCCAGGCAAGTGCACTGACCGGGAATCCAACCAGCAACCCCTTAGTTCGCAGGCTGGCACTCAATCCACTGAGCCACACCAGCCAGCTCATGTAAACATAATATTCTGTGAAAAGGATAGATTACGAGAGCATGCAGACGATCCCATTATTTAAAAACTATATGCACACATATGCGCAGGAAAAAAGTCTCAAAGGTTATAGACAAGGAGCCAGCATTTTCTTTTTCTTTTTTTTCCTGTAAAAGCCCAGAAAGTAAATGCTTCAGGCTTCGGAGACCATCGGTTTGTCACAACTGCCCAGCTCTCAACTCTACCATTTCATCACCAAAACAGGCGCGCGCACACGTGTGAGTGAGTATGGTGGTGCTGCAGTCAGACTTTACTTATGGAAACTAAATTTTAAATTTCATATTAATCTCACATCACAAAACATTAGATTTTTTTCTCAACCATTTGAACATGTAAGTACCATTCTTAACATACAAAAAACAGGTGGTGGGCCATAGCTAACTAACCCGTTACGGGCCAGAATATTCACGGCAATCATGTTTGTCTGAGAAGTAAGATTACGGGTGACGTTCACTTTCTTCTTTAAACCTTCCAGCACTGTCTGCACATATGATCATGTATTTTATAACTAGAATGCGCAGTGAAATTTGGTTCATTGGAGGTGGGCAGGGGGAGGGGGTTAAATTTTGTTGCGAGGCACCAGCACCCTGAAAAGCTCTGAAAAAGTAGGACACCTTGGTTCCCACCAGATCAGTAATGAAAACTGTCCGCTAAGCCAGAAAGAGCCCTGTCTGTGGCCCTAAACTAGTTCTACACACCAGCAGCTGCAGCAGGGGCAGAAACCAGGTATCTACTTGAAAATGAGCAATAGAAGATGAAGAACTAAAACATACTGGGAGAATCCACTCTGAAGTGTGCATCTTTTCCCACAAAAAATAATAAATAAAACTATACCATAGAAAAAAAACACAAGAAAAAACAGAAAATATTATGTAAAGTACTTCTTCAATTCTCTATGTTCATTAGGAGTTTTACATGTTCATAAAATGCTCCACTCACTCAGCAGAGACACACCATGGAAATATAATTTATTAAAAATTCTTATTTGCAATTTTTTCTACTTGTATGTATGTTTATATACATGCAAAGTTCTTCAGGATTTAAAACAGATGTAACTGATGACGTCCAGTCACCATGTCCAGTTCTTTTAAAAAAAAATACTCTCCACACCTACCCGGGTAACTACACGTGTAATATTCAGATTTGTAGGCACAGTGTCATAAAGCCCTTCTAGCTGTCACCATTCCTGTAGACAAACAACAAGACAGAGAAAACACAAGTTCTGGCGTTTCTTGTTAACATTTACCGTGTGATCCTAGGGTTAGAGATGATTCTGCTAAATATTCACGTCCGAACACAAGGCAGGCATAGCTTTCTAATTTGAAAAGGCTATGTCTAGTGTATGGAAGAAAGTCAACATAATTATCTTAATTACTTCAAAACAAGAGATCCCTGGTTTGCCTTCTGGTCCTTATATTCTTGTTCTGTGTGTATGTATGATGCCTCCCTTAAGATCAAATTTTGTACTTGTCCTTGTTTTAAAACAAAAAAAGACATTTTTAATCATATGTACATATTTTAAAGATGATATAAATATTAGAAGCACTAAGAAATACACATGAACAAGAGCTGTTAACTCATGTACTTTAGTTACTTTTACGTTAGGTGAATTATACTTCAGTTTTTCTTAAATGCAGGTGAAAGACACATACTAATAAAAAAAGTGGGGGTAGGAAATGCGCTCTTCCCCACAGCCCTAAGTATCTAATTCAAAGATACTGAAAGAACTTTTGGATAAGTGGTTGTTTTGACCCATGCATGCCTCTTCTTCCCCTCTATCCACACAAGGACTAGGCATCTCATTTCATATGTATATTGCAGTTTTCATCTATAAAATGACAGTAAGAATATTTTTCTTTGGCCAGCTCATGGAATTATGAGAATTAAGAAGTGAGACAGGTACAAAGATGGACAACAATAAGTGTTTTTAAAGGATGTGAGGAATAGGACCCCTTTATACATTCCTAGTAGCGATGTGATACAGCACAACTACTTTGGAAAACAGCGTGACAGTACCTCAAAAAGTTAAACAGAGTAAACCACACAACCCAGTAATTCCACTCCTAGGTATATGCCCAAGAGAAATGAAAACATGTCTACACAAAAACTTGTTCACAAAATATTTATAGCATCATTGTTGATAATAGCCCCAGAATGGAAACAACCTACATGTCCACCAAGTGATGAATGGGTAAGTAAAATGTGGTACATCCATGTAACAGAATAGTATTCGGCCATAGAAAGAAATGAAGGACACGGACGGGGATGTTGAAAACATACAGATTCTGCGAAGTACAAGAAGCCAGTCACAAGAGGCTTCATATTTTGATCCCATTTATATGAAGCTACCTATCAAAGGCAAATCTACGAACACAGAGCGGACACCAGTGGTTGCTCAGGGCTGGGAGTGGGTGGCAGCCGCGAACGGGGAGTGACAGCTGACAGGCACAGGGCTCCTTCCGGGGGAGAAAGGCCTACAGCTGGGTGGCAGTGCCGATGACGCCACATGTACAAAGAACCCGGACGTTGCCTTGTATATTTTTAATGGGTAAATTGTATGTATATAAATTATACCTCAAGAGTTGTGTAATTTTTTTAGTCCTCAGTGGAGAAGGTGGGAGCAATAGGGGGAGAGCTGTTATTTTCCGTCAGAACCCCTCTGTACCGTGTGATTGCTTTTAACTTGTGAGTGTTATTAACGCGATGAAAACCGTTACTGGAATAAGTACATGCAAAGCTTTACGAACGTCACTGAGTATACCTTCTCTCCTCATAAAGTCAATCTAAGAAATCTCTGTTTCCCTAGAGGGTAGCACACCAGCCAAATAAACGAAGGTCCGCAGGGCAGTGCGTAACCAGGACACCCATCACACACCCACCCACGTGTGCATGAGTGTTCACACACGGCTCTCCCTCACACAGAGAAATACCAGTAAGTAAAATGTACCCATGAGGCAAAATTAAAACTAAGTTTCACAATAGGCCTTCTGTTGGCAAAGACAACACTGTGCTCTGTAGAAACAGACGTCGACAGGGTTCCAGAACTCGGCGATGCCCCTGTGGAGAGGCCAGCCAAGTAGGTCAATGCAGTGGTCAAGCTGAAGGTGACCGGCCAGGGGACTGATAAAGGCGCACCGTGATGGAAGGGCATGAGGAGGCAGAAATTTTAGTGCTCCATCTTGAGAAGGAGCTGGCTTTTCCCCCAGATGGACTAGGGGAGGGAGGAAGTGACAGGGAATAGTAATGAGATGGGCTGGGAGGGGCTGGAAGAGGGGAGGTGGGAGGAGGCAGAGCTGGGTGGGGAAGGCCTGGGAATGAAGGGACTCAAGGCTCCCGCGGCACCTGGAATACATTTAATTAAGACCGACAATGAATTAAGACCAGAGCCAAAGAATAAGCAACACCACTTTGTTAGGTAAGTAAAAGATGGACAGGCAAAGGGAGGGCATGCTGGGGTGGAGGGAGGAAGAGCAGCCCGAAAACCAGTTAGGAGGCCCTTGCAATTTTGCTGGGAGGAGGAGGTACTTGGAGATCTAAGCTAACGCTGCGGCAGCAGGAACAAGGGGTCTCGGATGTGAGAGCTGCCGATAGACGGGAAGGCTTGAGGACTGACTGAAGCTGGGTGGGGAGAAAGGATGACCCCAAGACTCCCAGAAACAAAGCGATGTTGACTAGGGTCAGGGCACAGATCATGACTTGATGGGGAGTATTTCAAAGACACTAAGCTGGGAGTTTGACTTGCTTTGTCCCAGGGTGGCAGAGTCCAGGAAAGTGCAGCTGACCTTTCCCAGCACAATGCAGACCACAGATTCAAGAGCCAGACAGACAGTGCTTAAACCCAGCCTTGCCAGCCATGAGCGGGAGACCCAGGAGCACGTAAGTTAACCTCTCTGGCCCCAGCTTCTTCATCTGCGAAACCAAGATAATAGTAAGGCCTATTTCATAGGAATGACACGTATGAAATGCAAGCAAGTGCTCAGAAAAGTGCTTTGTACACATTAAGCACACGTTTGTCCGTGCTGGCTATTTCTACTACAGCATCTGCACAGCGATGCGTTAGCTACATTTTTTTAATGTTTTATTGTTTATACAGTTATCCCAATTTTTCCCTCTTCGGCTCCTCCACCCAGCCAGCCCTCACTTCCGTAGACAAGCCCCACATCATTGTCCCTGTCCCTGAGTCCTTCATATATGATCTCTGACTAGAAAACTATGGAATGCTTCATGAATTTGTGAGTCATCCTTGCGAAGGGGGCGTGCTAATCTTCCCTGTGTTGTTCTTGTTTTAGTACACACGCTGCCGAAGCGGGCACTGGCTCCGTTTCACAGGAAAAGAAACTGAGGCTCCGGGAAACCATTCCTTCCTCAGCTGGTGAGAGGCAGGAACTTCTGTCTGCATGGCTTCAAAGGCGGCACTGCTTACGCTTGGCCCCACGGCCACCTCCTGAGCTTCCGGCTCAATCACCGACTCCAGGAACTACACAGAAGTCTCAGACTGCCACTGTTCCCGCATGAAGGGCAGACTGGGTTTGGCCTTGATTTCTGAGGGCATCTAAACAAAGAGGGCGGCCGACTCATCCTCCTCTGCGGAGAGCCGAGTCTCTGTTAGTTCGTTTCTACTCGCTGCTTGCAAACTGGGCTCTCCACCATTCAAAGCACTGAAGCCACTGTTTCGGAACTATGACCAACCTGCCTGCCCTCCTAGTCTGAAAGCCCTCTGGGTTTAGGGACTGTCCGTCCTATTCACTGCAAGTATCTTCAGCTCCAAATTCATACTGAGAAAACACACAAAACACTTGCATGCACACCTCCCCTGATGTGACACTGGCCGGACAACCTGAGTTGTCGACGTTTCCGGTTTGCAATCAAGTGAACGCTATACCCTTCTATTCTAGGAGAAGGGGACTGTCCTTTTGGAAACATTAAAGAGTCCTGCATCACCAGAGAATGTCTATTCCTCTCAGATTCTGCACGGAGGGTTCATGGCACGCAGAACAGGATGCACAGTGCTAGGAATACAGATTACTTCCTTTAACAAGTAAGAGACTGACTCTCTTATTCATACAAAACCTAAATAATAGACCAGGAATCCAGAACCGGAAGTTGTGGGACTAGCCAGCTTTTCTACCACTTGCAAATGATGTTAACGAGTGCAAATACTCATGTCTTTAGGCGAAAGAAAAGGTCTGGCAGGGAACTTCATTGTTAGATTTGACCTGGTAATACCACTAAATCAAGAAATGCATTTTTAGTATTTTTCCAGTCTGTATGCTTTTTTCAAAAAAAATGGTTTGTCATGAGGTGATTCAAATGTAGTTAAATTTCCAAAAACACCTTCAATCTGCAGAATCTGTGTGCTCATATTATGTGGAGTATTATTCTTGCCATTTTGTTGTGTTTTCTACCTTCTTCCCAATCAGTGTTCCACTAATATAAAGTCCTTTTATTGTGGTTAAACTAAGTCACATTTTCAGATATGAAATTCTACAGGAAATCCTATTATAAGTCTTTAGAATAACTCAAGAGTGTTGCCATGATAGACGAGACAAACTCAAGCCATTTTCTGAGACACCCAGAAGTGTCGTGTATAGACTGTATTTACGTCATCTCCATACAATTCATATTCCAAGATAACAGGTTAATGACTGTCTCAAAAAAGACTTCAATTATACAAAACATCTCAGAATAAGTACAACTTTTTCCAAGAGTTCTCAGATTCTGTCCTCAAATTCAAGTAATTCAATACATATAACTGAGGGAAAAAATCCTCCTTTGTTGAATGGGAAATTCTCTAATTTTCCACGCTGGCACTTCCTAAGAGACTATAAACTCTATAGGTAGCCCTTTATTCTATTCATCTTCAGAGAAAAGTCAGCCAAACCATGTTAGAGATGTCAGCTCCAAATAAATGCAGGTCAAATTAAAAACGGACCGAAAGCGGAGCTCACTCTAGGGTCTGAGATCTCAGGACTCTGCCAATCGATGGGTAGATGCTTGTCCCCGAAGTCCTTTCCTGTCCTCAGATCTTTCTTAGGAAGCCAGACTTCCGCCCCCCCACCCCCCGCCACCTTTTGTTTTCCTTTTTTTCCCTTTCTCATTCATTCCTTCCATTGTCCCGTGGACATCAGGAGCCAAAAATGTCAACCCTCTCCATGGGTAAACAGAAATCTGCTGGCTTTTTCTTTTAATGCCTGCTATTATTACAAGAGGTGACACTGTAATCTACCTCAGGCACCTTTCTCCCCACCCTTGCCAGGGAGGTCATTTTCCTTTTATCAGGAAGAAGACTAGGTCAAGGCATGTTAGTGCCTGTTGACCCCACTGCTAATGGAAGCAAGATAAGTCTTTACCCTTAAGGAACCTTAACCTCTACCTGGCCCAAAACAGATATTTCAGCCCTGGCTGGCGTGGCTCAGTTGGCTGGAGCATTATCCCGTCACCAAAAGGCTGCTGGTTCGATTCCCAGTCGGGGCACATGCGTAGGTTGTGTGTTTGATCCCTGGTCTGGGAGCATACAATCCCTGGCTTGGATGTGTATGGGAGGCAACTAACCGATCGTTGCTACATGTTTCTGTCTCTCCCTTCCTCTCTCTCTATAAGCAATGAAAACATGTTCTTGGGCAAGGATTTTAAAAAATAAAATAAAATAAAAAACAGAAGACACTTCAGAGTTCCCACATTAGGTTTGGAGCTGGAAAGCGGTTTGACACTTCAAGCCTCAACCACATAGACCTTAACCAGGTAACAGGACAGTTGTCAAGCCCAGCAGAGCTGCCCAACTCCGGTGACTCCTCTCTCCTCGGATCAGCAAGATGCTTCCTTTACGCAGGCAGCCACAAGTTAGGACACCAGCCTCCCAAATAAACAGTGGAGGCATGGACAGAGCCATTTGGAACCATGTGTCTGAAAATAGTACTGAGGAATCTAAGCAGCTTTCAAATTTTTTAAGCTGTGAATTGTTCATTTGAATGAAATATTACCCAATATAAACACATAAAATACATAAAAGGAAGCCACGCTCTTCTCAGGCCCTGGGCGCCTGCACCAGGGTCCTGGGCGCCCAGGACAGTGAGCCAATCAGAGCATCCGAGCTCGCATGCCTGGTAGGAAGGGCAAACCTTGAGATTTCATTGTTCTTTCATCCTATCTTCTCTTTCCTTTTAAGGGCCACCGCCGAATGCTCCTCTAGATTGTCTCTTACGTTTAAAATCCCCATGGCTCAACGAGAGCCATCCGACAGACATGTAAATGAGTGGAGCAACAAATCGATGCTTCTCTCTCTCTCTCTCCCTCCTCTCCCTCTCTAAAATCAATTTAAAATAAAATCAAACCTGCATGGCTTACAGGTAATCTAAGAAATACACTATAAAACAAGACACTTTTTACAACCTACCTTGCCAAAGATTTATACCCCGTTTTCAGAAGGTAATTTGGCAATATGCATTAAAGAGCCTTTTAAAAACAGTCCTCTATTTTGTTCTATTTCTGGGAAGGTATTCATAAAGAAATAAATAATGTACCTAAAGATGCCTGAACAAACTGGTTCATCACAGCACTATTTATGCCAATAGAAGTAGCATAAGTTAAGTGCTCAACAATTGGGAACTGTTCAAATAAATCACTACATTTGCATGATGGGCCTACTGGGCTCTGACACTCAAATGCTTCTAATGTAATAAAAATGCAAAAAGAAAAAACCATGACCACTCCAAACAGCACATGGAAGGTGTACAGATAAATGGGTGGATAGATAAATTACAAAGTTTACTTATTTACTGAATTGGAATACGAAATTTAATACTACCTTCCTTGGCAAAAGACACACAACATGTTGGATTATTAAAAAGGCGACAAGTTTATCTGGCACTAACTTGCTCACTGACACTACATCCTGATACTATTCTAAATATTGGGAAGTTGATACAATATTTCTATTTTCTAATATGTACCAGATGTTCCTACAACTTGATCATGTCCACTAAACTCCCTGTGTTTAAATTTTTTTATCATAAGAAAAAAAAATGTCTTATATGAGATAACAATCGTGCACTACCTCTTTGTTTTTTATTTTACCCTTTAATTCCTGCTCCACAGACGACAAACGCTGATCTCTCCAAACCTTGGCAACATCACAAAGACCAGAGTAAACGAGTCGACCGTCTGCTCACCCCGGGCACTGCTGGGCTGGCCCCTAGTCCCTCCGACCAATGGCTGAGGCTGAGAGGACAGGCAAGGCAGGCCCGAGAGCGAGCTGGCAGAGCTGCCCGGTCGACACTGTGCTGTTTGAAACTCAGGCCACAAGAGACAACAGTCTGCTTTTCCCACCCTGGCAACAGATTCAACCTCTTGGCCCTGTAAAAGTCATTGGAATATATTTAACTCAGAAAAAAAAAATGGAAAAAGAGAGAAAGAGAGAGAGAAAGGAAGAGGGACAAACTTTCTGTCTTGTGACTGACGGTATATTCGGCCCTCTGATTTTCTATGCACGTTGGCTCGTGCTGTTGACAGCCCTGGAGGTTAAGTAGTATGGACTGCCGCACAGAGCCTTCACCACACGGTCGAAACCAGCGGCAGGCTCCTTTTGACAGCCAAATAATGACAAGCGCATTGCAGGCCAACACGCATCATTCACCGACATCTCCAACCAGCTCCAACCGCGCAGCGCAGCGACCAAGCCGAGGGTCAGAGGTTAGGCTCCAAGAAGCCAGCACTGAGGGGCAACTGTCACGCACCACCGCCTACTACGCAGCAGCAAGGAGTGGCTGTCTCCTCCCGAACAGGCAAGACGCTCTCGCTCTGGCCAGGCAGAGACACATCTGAAGGTCCTAAATGAGACCACTGCCAATGCATGAAGCTCCACGCTGACAGCATGACATCTGAGCTGTCTCCGATTTGACGTTTTTTTTCCTATTCCAAATCACAAATGCATGCAAAGTATGCAGTTAAGCGTAACTCTTCGGCCATGTTTTTAGGCATGCTATGCTCCTAGACACCTATGTAGCCTCACATATATACACATTCCTAGATCTTAAAAAAAGGGGGGAAAGTGCACAATTAATTTATTCTTCTTTAGTGAGTTTCTAAGAAGTACGCAAAATTGAAAATGGCACAGAAGAATCCAGGTATCAGTTTTTAGGAAAGTTCCTAAGTGTCTACAATAAAAAGCAATCGTTTCATCCAAATATCATCATACTGCTATGACAGCATAGGAATATCACTGCTTACATAATTTTATTTAATTAAAGCAGTATAATTTTAAGTACACAGTAATTAATCGATACATTCTATAAGGTTTTTTTTAGTTTGTTC